AGATACCCAGCTAATGAAAATATGTTCTAAGAACCCATTAAGTTATAAAAAACGCTACTTATGAATGTTTTCGGAACATTCAAAAATTACAGTTTTTCTAAAAATTTTATCATTTTGCAAACATTATGGGAGCATTACTTTTGAATGTTGCCTAAAAGTTCTGAAACAAGAAGTAACATTTAAAAAATGTTAGACAAACGTCCAGCTAAAAGATTAGAAAAAAGGTCCATTGCACATCCATTTTTATATACCATACAAACCATAAAAGTTTAAAACAGAATGCATTTTTTTATATTATTGTTTTTTATAATATTGTTGGCTTTTTGATAAATTGCTTTTGTTTTGTTTTGTAAAAAAGCATCTACTAATGTAATCACATTTTCAGCAGAAATAACTATATTGTGATAAATACAGTTATACAGCATTAAAATGACTTATATTTTGGTCTTAATTAATTTAGTCAGCAATCTGGCAATGAAACACACATCTCCTGAGACACTTTTACTGTCTCAGTCTCTAAACGTTTAAAATGCAATGCATTTTTAAATAAAATTTCCAGCAGAAATAACTATATTGTGATATACAGCATTAAAATGACTTATATTTTGATCCTAATTAATTTAGTCAACTATCTCACACATCTTCTGAGACACTTTTATCATCTCAACCTCTAAAAGTTTAAAACAGATTTCATTGTTTTATACAATTTCCAGCAGAAATAACTAGATCCTGATATATACAGTTACACAGCATTCAAATCATATATATTCAGTCAGCACTTTTACTGTTCCAATCTCTAAAAGTTTAAAATAGAACACATTTTTAAAACATTTTAGCAGAAATAACTATATTGTGATGCATACATTAATGCAGTGTTAAAATGACTTTCGGTTCTAATTTATTTTGTCAACTATCTTGCACATCTTTTATTGTCTCAGTCACTACAAGTTTAAAATAGATGGCATTTTTAATAACATTTCCAGCAGAAATAACTATATTGTGACATATACAGTTACAGCGTTATAATTTCGTCCTAATTCATTTAGTTAGCGATGGAACACACACATCTTCTGAGCCACTTTAACTGTCCCAATCTCTGGCCCTTTCTTTTATTTCTCCTCGTTCTCTCTCCTGCTGCGTCTGACGCCTCAGCGCTCTCGTTTGGGGAGCGCCACTAATAAACCATGGAGCCAGGACTCCTCGCTGTCTCGCTCTCGCTCCGCTCAGATCTCTCTGATTTCTTGCCCAGTTCTCTTCTGTTGTCCAAAATGACAAGCGACTTTTTCTTAGTCTCTCTCTCTCTCTGTCTGTCGTTTTCTCGCATTCTGCCCACTGTGACAAGACTGTGCCAGAGACACACACACACACACACACACAGACACACACTCGACAGCAGACACACAGCTGGACCCCAGCTGCCTACAAAGGCTGGGGTTTGAAAATCAATGAAGGCGAATGAAGAAAAAGGGAAAAGAGTTTAAATAAACTGGCACTTGAAAAAAGAAAACACAAAAGAGGCAATTCGAGAGAGAGAGAGAGAAAACACGCGCAGAGAGACAATAGGCAAGGAAATGAGCTGTAACTGCAGCACTACGTCAAAACCGAAGGTCAAAGACCATCCGTAATCGCTGATAACAAAGATGTGACGTTTCAGATCGGATGATGGATGCATTAAGATGTCTTTACTCTGAAATCTGATATCATCCAATCACAAACTTGGCTGGAGTTGTGACAAACGAGAGTGATGCGGCCGCCACCCTGGAACCGGCGGGTTTTATAATGCAGCACGTCACAGTATCCATATTCCTCCGTAGAGAAGACATTCCTCTCGCTACTGAGGATGATGTTGTCGGACTGAACAACATCTGCGGATCTCATGCTCATTTTGCAAAGCGTTTTCTGTAGCTGGTCAGATGAAAGCGCTCGGATTTGAGTGACAAAACAAAAGAGGGAAAAGTTTCGCTTCATGTTTTCGGACGCATGCAGTCGCCCAGCTACCAAACATATGTTCTAAGAACGTTTTGCTAACTTTTTAAAAAGTTTTTTAAATGTTTTAAAAACTTTTTTATTGATAATGCGAATGTTAAGGCAACATTCCATTGTATCATCTTACAAACATTATGAGAATGTTACTTTTGAATGTTACTTTTGAACATTCCGAAACAAATAGTAACATTTGAAAAATGTTAGGTGAATGTCCACCGAAAACGTTTCAGAAAAACGATGTATAAATGACATTTTTGTGCTAATGCTTTGAGAACAATTAAAAAGCAGATCATTTGAACAAACGTTCTATTGATGTTACTTCAAGAACATTTGTTCATAACTTTGAGATTTATGATGGCCATAGTTCTGAGAACATTCCCTGTTATCTGGACTATCCCACTGTCCACTATCTGCCACATTATACAAAACACACACACACACACACACACACTTAATAGTTGAGAAACATGCTGTTGAGCCATGAAACAAGCAATGAACGCACCACGTTCCAGAGAAATCTCTCTGTGTTTGTTGCGATTGTGTTTTCTCTCATCACATTCTCATCTGTTCTGCATATGCACACACACACATTTTTGTTAAAGAACAGAGAGGAAGACATAATGTAAGGCTGCGTTATCTACAACATTTTGCATGTCATCACTCAGTGTTTTCCAACATTTTTTGACGGTGCAACATTGTGTGTCATTCTACAGGGACCCCAAAACCTCTATGAATGCTTACGTCACACTTCCAGTGTGTGACTGTCATTGCATTAGATATTTGATTTTAAAGCAAGTGTCATTTATTGAAAAGACAGATGCACAAACACACCTTACCTTACAAATGAAACATTTGACAAAAAAGACATTTGAACTGCTAAATCAACAGATGCCATGTTGAAGATGAAAACAGTCAGTATTGTGTTTGTGGTTAGTTAGGGTTGCAAAGGGGTGGAACATTTCTGGTAAATTTCCGGAAACTTTCCAAAAATCCATGGAATATTCAAAAAAATCCTGGAAAGTTTCCGAAATTTACTGGAAATTTTCCACCTTTTTGCAACCCTATTAGTTAGTGGATGATGTTAATAGTTAATGTGATTCTCTAAACCTGCGGCTCTTGAACTTAAGGAAACTAGTCTGCATCTTAAGAACTAGTCTGACCAACTAGCACTTACTGAAGGGTTAATCAATATTTTCAGATTCAAATCATACCATTTTTTATGTAAGTGACTTCAAATGTCCAGTCTTATAAGAAAATTTGATGACTTAGGCTACTTGTAAGACTAATCGATAAAGGTTTCAAAAGAAGGTTTCTGCAGCAAAGCCATAGCTTTAAATTAACCTCTGTTTTTCTTAGTGTAAAAAACATTTTAATAATCTAAAGAACCTTTTTCCTCGATAAAGAAACTTTTGTACAATGGAAAAGTTCCATGGAACCATCAATGCCATAAAAATTTTTTTTTTGTTTTTAAGTGTAAGCATTTTATACAACCAGTCGCTGACTTCGTGCATCCATTAAAAGCCAGCGGATTCAAACACATTAAGACTCAAACGTGAAGAAAAGTGATGCTGCAGCAGAGAAAAGATTGACTTTTTGATACATATATTTAAATGACTCATTTACACTACTGTAAACTGACCACTAGTGGAACAAAACAAGGCAGCTGGCAACTCAAAACCGTCCTTTTTTATGTTACTTTCATGCATCAGCGGCTAATAGAGGAATTAGGGAAGCAAGTTTATAATTGGTAGGGTCACGACTCACAGCTCCTATATATGAGTTTGTGTGTGAGGTGACACAGTGGGCTTCTGCCCGTTAGCTCTGGCCATCACACATGGGTGCGAGGTCGACAAAAATGACACTTATGCCACATTCAAATGAGGAAGCTGTCTAACCACACACACACACACACACACACACACCGTCCTGCATGCATGTCAAACAAAACGCCTTCAGTCATGTATAACGCTATACAGCTGTTAAGAAACACAATCACTCAGATGGTCCAGCAAAGCACTTTCACACTTCTTCTAAACCACTAACGTATCGGATCTCTGGAACATGCAATAAGGGCCGGGAACGATTGTCTCGGCTTTGAGCTTGTCTTGCGTTCATGGGTATCAACACACAATCTAGAAACAAATGTGAAATGTGAAACTAATTTGTTTGTTGAGTGTGAAGTTTGTGGGGTACACATATAAAACCTGCAAGTGAATATCTGAGACCATGTGAAGATGTTCAGAGCTTGAGATGTAACTCTTGTAGGCCCAAACAGAGCGACTTTTCTGCAAGAAAACCAATGAGTTCATTTAGTCTTATTTACTGAGAAATCTCATAATCGACGGGCTGCAGGCTTTCTGATTTGCAATTTCAAATTATAAAGTATATATAAATTTAATTTAAATAAGCATTTTAATTATTGATTGCACTACACTTTACAACAATTTCAGAATAAGTACCATAGTAGTTTTGATTTGTGATAATTATATAATTGCATTTATTATAATGCATAAGTTGCTCAAGTTAGCAACAATTATACGAACAATCATTTTAAGGTCAGCTTAATCTATAATATTAAAGTAAAATGAAATCACTGTTCTTCTTAATTAAACGATTTTTTTTTTATTTAATTGACAAATGCAAATCGAAACAATTTTCTGTTCATCAGTAATAAGTCACGAGGATGTGAGGAATGTACAACAAATGCAGTGCAGCTGAATGTTGTACAACTCAATGAAAATGTGATGCTGAGGACTGCAGAAATGATGCAAAGCGGACCGCAAGTTCTGCAAACTTTAAAGCTGACAGTCAGTCAATGCACGAATGTATTAAAGTAATGCAAGTGCCGGATAAGCATGGGATAGGCCTGTTTAATAGTTTAGGAAGTGCTGCTTTCCAGCTACGGTTGTAAACGTCGCGCTAATCCAGTTTTTCTAGAGGAATGAATGAGCGCTGAAATAAACCCGGGCAACTTTTAGAAACTTCTCAAGGCAGCTGCTGGGTTCGCCACTAACCTTGGTTTCTCCGCGGGTTCGCCTGTTTCCTCCGCTTTCCTCGGCTCCTCTCTGCCATGACTTGGCCGTAGTTGCCCGGTGAGCGCGAGGACGGATCGTGCGGGTGAATGACTGAAGCGCCGCTCCGCATCGCTCGCGCCCTACAGCGCGTGACTGCAGCGTCGCTCTACCCCGCGTCGCGTTCAGCAGCGGCTCTGGTGATGTCATCGGAGGCAGGTCTGGTGTGTCAGCCTTAGAAAGGAGAATTTGCGTTACATTTTTATTAAAGAAAAAAAAATTATAATTTCTATATATATATATTTTTTGGTCATAAACACGTTACGTTACGTAGCCTATAATGTAGCTTATAATGTCATCGGAGGCAGGTCTGGTGTGTCAGCCTTAGAAAGGAGAATTTGCGTTACATTTTTATTAAAGAAAAAAAATATTCTAATTTCTATATATATATATATTTTGGTCATAAACACGTTACGTTACGTAGCCTATAATGTAGCTTATGTAGCCAATGTTGCCTATGCTTAGGCTACTTGCCATATTATAGGTAGGCTATGCGTTTTATTGTTCATAATAGGATTTATCTACTCTAGTGTGCATGCGAAAAATGTGATCAAATTAGATATGCATGCAGTTTAATGCTTGTTTTTGTATTTAAGAAGCGTCAGACGTTAATAGCTACTCAAATTTTAAGTTTGCAAAAATGCTGAAAGTTTACATTTTTGATCGCTATATATGTACACGTAAGCGAATATTTACCATTAAAAAAAAGGCAGCGGCTATTTGCACTAAGTGCAAATACTAGTGATAGATGCTATTTACACAGTGCAAATAGCAATGGATTCTATTTAGTCCTACACTATGTGAAAATAGGAGTATTTTCTTTGCAATAATAGTAGTTAGATGCTGTTACTTGGTGCAAATAGTGCCAGATATCTGCACCTCACTATTGTAGTACATTATAAAACATTATGCAATAATAACGCATTAAATGTGTAAATTATAATTGTTATTAAAATTATTAAATGCATGCCGCTTTGGACAGTAAAGCCCTCCCTACACTTAACCGATAAACACCAGTGAGGCACGTTATTTTCCACTTTTCGAACATTTCCTTAATTTTAACGCTTAAAGTTGCAAACGGTCTTTTAATGCGCAGGTACGCGTTTTATTGTGAGCGAATCGCACCTGTCCCCCCCCGCCCCATCAGCCCCTTCTCCTGTTGATCGCTGTAGGAAGTATTGTATTGTCACCTCTGTTGTGCGAGTAATTGAACGGTAATCTGTTTAGCAACTGAAAAAGAAAAACATCAGAAAAACTCAAACACACCGTTCCAGGACCCCTACCTTGGCATTCACGCGCACCAACCCCCACCTGAACGCTTCCCGAGGCGCGCGAGGTAGGGTGGACCTTGATCCCTAAGGCTCCCAAATAAATTACATTTTCTCCTTTAAATTATGTTAATGGTTAAGTAATTCTGCTTTGTATTTAATGGCAATCTTCCTCTTGTTAATTATTATTATTATTATTAATATTAATGTCGATTATATTCATGTTGTCTTGATATGTCTTGTCTCGCGCCAGAAAAAAAAAGCGCGGCAACGGATTCTGAGGGGAAAACAACTTTATCTTAATTGTTGTTTTTACAACAGCGGGCGGATTTCTCCTTTTTGGCTGGAAAATATATATATTTATATCTTACAGACATTACAAGAAACCAACAACACTAAATATTACCAGAGGATGACCGAGATTTCAAAGAAAAAAGGTTTGTATAGTTTACTTGGATATTTTGCTTAGCATAAACGTCGTAAATTATGCTACGTTGTAAGACTTTTAGGCTACTTTCTTTTATACCCGGTTTTTGCAGTTATTTTAATGTGTCGTGTGTACAATCGAACAAAAATACTGTTGGTACCACCACATTACAGTGATTATATCAAAAGTATTTGTATTTCCATTGAGAAACAATGATTAGCTACCGTATTTTACACAGTGTATACGGCTACACAATGTATTAGCATGTTACTTTTTTAATAGCGAATTCTGTACATTTTAAAGGCATTTAGCAAAATGCTAAGCTGTGTTTGTTGTTTTACAGTTAGTCTGCCAAATGTTTGTGTAGGCTATACAACCTTATAAAAAATACTGCATTGTTACCACAGTACAGTAATGATATCAGGTAATAGGCTACTATAGTACTTTAATTTCCATCGAGGAACAGAGGGATTACAATGGTATTTACATAGTACTCCACAATGTATGAACCATGGTAGTTTTTAGTAGTCAATCCTGTGCATTTTAAAGGCAAAATGCAAAGCATTTGTCTTTTTAGCGACATAAAATAGAAGGTTTCAGGTGGAGAAAGCAAAGAAAAGAAGAAGGGATGAGAGCTCACAGCCCTTTTGTCCAGGAGAGGAAAGAGATGGAATGGGTCATAAACCTACACCCTGATGAGAGGAGTAAAGGAGGCAAACAAAAGCCTTATTCACCACTTCACCTCTGTCCCTGCAGATGATGGTAAGAAAGTGTTTTTACATGAACGTCATAAACGAGGAACCATTGTCTCTTTATGTGCAGACAAAGAGTGCAGTTTGCTGTGTGCAATGAGTTTAAAACAGCCAGTAAGTGCAAGAATCTGTGCACACAAATGGTCCCGAACATGAGGGATGCCCTTGGGTTGGGGTGTCCCGAGGGGTTTCCAAGCATGCACACGAGTTTGGCAGGGGTCCAGAGAGGGAGCAAAGGGAGGAGTCTTCATTAACGGCATATTAAACAGGAGTTAATTATATGCCAACCTTTGTGACAAAGAGAATAAAAAGCCTCGACTTGAATGGCGAACCAAGAAAAGAAAAGTCATTATGCTGGTTTCACTTCTTTGCATGTGAAAACCTCAGCGCTTATTTTGCCATTTCCATTTGTATCAGCAACCTCAGCTCAGTAGGTTGTGGCTTAAGTCAGGCTGTAGTTCAGAGCGCTGTTAAACCTCTGCACTCTCTCTTTAGAAATCAACTGAATGCTACGTTCCGCAGATGTTAATTATAGAACGACTAGTATGTTTCCTATGCATTTGGTCAATGGGAATTGAGTGCATATTGCAGTAAGGGTTTGCATTGATTGGAGTTTCAGAATTTATATGCATCACAAAATAAACATAATTTAGTTTTGTTGAATGATTTTCAAACTTTTTTTTTTGCAAAATGACAGAACTCCTCAACACGCCACATGATTTAAAGAATCATTCATGTTCATAGCACAAACAGTGCGGAACAGCGTCAATACTTGAGGTTACCCCAAGTATGAGCAAGAGTAAAGGGATCCTTGCCTGAGCAAAAACCACTAATGATGAAGGAGGGATAGTGCGAGATGAGAGATGGCTAACGGTGGTCAAGTCACGAAAACGAGGATGGAAGCAAGGTTCAGAGCGAAAGGAAGAAGTGGAGACGATCAGTCAGTTATGTAGCAAATAACAGATGGGAGACAGGGAGAATTGAGTCAGCGGAGTTGGCAATGGTGATGTCGATCACCATTCATTGGATTCATGCCGCACACAGCATTAGATCCGTGGGGCCGAATCAGGGTACCAGGGACCAGGAGCCACAGCATTATAGACTCACACACACACACTGGCATGTAGTGCAGGAAAAACTTTCTTTTGATCTTATAATCAGGGACAGGGAAAGGGCAAGTATGGAGAGGATTAGCTTTGTCACAGAGATTCCAGTATTAGTGAGCAAAAATGTTCTCTTTGTAACTAAAGGAGGAGGGATCTAATATGCCAGTGTAACATAAACCCTGTGTGTGGCTTTCAAGACCTCACAAAGACCATGAGCTGTAGATTTGACGCCATCTAGAGGACATCTGACATGCTTCTACCTCAAAAAAATAAAAAATAAAAATACAGGCTGTGAACAAATATAGGTGGCATTGAAAATGCACACAAATGTGTTGTGATGTTGTCCGATATCTTGTTTTTTCCAGTGTATTCAACTATTGAGAGAGAAGTACATGGATCATGGTTATTATAGTTAAAACTAAAATCTTACTTGCTTGAAAAAAACTGAAATACAATAAAATATAAAAAACATACTTATTTTATTACAGCTAGTTGCCAAGGCAACATTTCTCAACTAGTTAAACTTGATGTACTAAAAGTACTAAATCTGAAATAAAATTTAATAAAAACTATAAACACATTTAAAAAACAAAAACTAATAAAAATGACAAAACAAACAAATTAATCAAACTTGAACTAAAAGGTAAAATAAAAACAGGTAATATAAAAAGTAAAAACTAATTCAAAATATTAACAAAGCTATAATAGTAACATGGATATGCACAAAGAAACATAATACAACACATAATTTTCTTCCATCACAGGCTCTGTTTATTTATAAACTGGTATAATATAGTACCTTTGTACAAAAATGTAGAAAACGGTACGCAAAAATATCACTTACTTTCCTTGTAAATAGATGAGATAAATGCTAATATCATAAATCTGCTACTACTTTATGAACTTTTGCCAGCAAAAAGGTTTGAGTGAACTGTGACCGATATAAAAACACACAGAAATGCAAAAACCACAAAATGTTTTTTTTTCTTTAAAAAAAAGAGGAAATGATAAAAAGAACATCGTAACATTCTTTATCACAGCAATATGGAAGCACATGACGTTGTGTCTAGCAAATATCAAGTGTGGACTCGTCTCAGTGCCGGTCGTCTTTGGTATGCCACAGAAAGTGGAAACACTGGGATTTTTAAAGGGTTGCAGTCGAACCGCAGCCCTTGATAACACTTAAATGATAAAATGAGTTAGGCACAATGTAGACAGTGTTGAAATAACAGGACTTAAAACCAAAAATATAAAATACCTGCACTGTATGTACCTTTCATACTATATGGTGTTATACTATATACAGCTCAGTGCTGTTGTCAGTGCAATGCATATGCATGCTAGCTTGGGTTATGTAGCGCAGCGTCGACTAAAAGAAACCATACAAAAAAACACTCAGTGCCGTTACCCTTTAACGTATCTGTCTGAAAGCAGACTAGTCAAATAATCAGAAAACAAACACTAAAACTTTGAAAGAATATAATGACTCAAAGGATCCTGTCTAGACCTAGAGATAATTG